TAGATATAAACCATGTTCTATCCTGTGCTATCCTCACATTTCCTGAATCACAAGAGCTTATTGTGGCAGTCACCATGTCAATCCACCTGGTTGAGGGTCTTCCTCTTTTCTGTGAACCCTCAACCCCTCCTAGCACCATGTCTCTCTCCAAAGGCATAGGCCCTCCTAGCAACATGCCAAAATTATGTGAGGCAAAGTCTGATCATTGTTGCCTACATAGAGCACTCTGGCTGCACCCTTTCCAAGACATATCTGTTTGTTCTCTTGGCCATCAATGGATGGTCAGTGCTCTTTTTCAACACCACAGCTCAAAGGCATCAATTCTTTTTCTGTCATCCTTATTAATTGTCCGGCTCTTAGATTCATAGCAAGTGATCAGAAAGACTATGACCTGAGTCAGACACACCTTAGTTAGCAAACTGATATCATTACTCCTCAATATTAACTACAAACTTCCCCAATGCAATGTCTTCTTGGATCCAAGGGATCCAAGCAAAATAAAGCTACTCAGTTTCAGTCTCCTCTCCCTCCATAATGATGTTGCCTGTCTGTCCAGTGGTAAGAATCTTCATTTTCCTGACAATGAGATGCAATCCATACCAAAAGCTGCATTCCTTGATCATCTGCAACAAGTATATCAGGCCCTCCTCACTTTCATCAAGGTTGTGTCATCTGCATGACACAAGTTATTGATGAGTCTCCTTCCAATCCTGATGATATAGTCCTCTTCAGAGTTCAGCTTCTTAAATAATTTGCTCAGCATACAGATTAAATAGGTATGGAGAGAAAATACAATCCTGACACACTCTTTTCTCAATTTAAAACCATGCAATGTTCCCCTTGCTCTGTTCACACAATAGGTACCGATTCTGCATGAGCACAATTAAGTGCTTTGGGAGTCCAGTTCTTCTCAACGTCAGCCATAAACTGTTGAGAGCTGGAATTGGAGAATAAAAAGGGAAAAATGTGCTCTGCATTTCTCAAGCTGTTGTTAAGTGCCATAGAATCTTAGATGACCCATAGTGACCCTATGACTGAAAGTATTAAAAACAGAACTTTCATTTTTTCTACACGTTCCTAGAGTTTCCGGAGGAAAGTTTGTTGTGTTGTGTTGTTTTGTTTTAAGTGGATGCCACTCTTGCTTACAAACCTGGAAGATTTATAAAAACCAGGCCTGGGGGCCAAAAAGCGTTTTTAAAGGCAAGGCCAAATATGATTAGCTCACACCCTATTGCAAGCAAGTCACACCCTAGTCTCAACTCTAAACTAGAAAAAAAATACCTTGACAGAACCCTGCAGTTCCACTTATCTTCCCAGCGAGAATTGAAAAACAAATACAAACCTCTTGTCAATATATTGAAAGATGCTATGGGCAATATACTGAATGACCCAGAAAGCATCAGAAGAAGATGGAGGGGGAACACAGAATCACTGTACCAGGAAGAGCTGATTGACACTGAGAAATTTCAGGAAGTACTATATGAACAGGAGCCAAAGGTAATGAAGGAGGAAGTGTAAGCTGCCTTGAAGGCACTGGCAAAAAAATAAGGCCCCAAGAATAGATGACATGTTTCAATTAACAGATGTAGCCTTGGATGCACTCACCAATAAGCCAGGATATTTGGAGGACAGCTTTCACGCCAACGGATTGGAAGAGGTACAGATTTATTCCCATTCCCAAGAAAGGTGATCCAACTAACTAAATGTGGAAACTATCGAACAATATCATTAATATCACATGCAAACAAAATTCTGCTGAAGTTATTGTTGTCGTTATGTGCCATCAAGTCACTTGCGACTCATAGCGACCCTATGTACAACATCCCTAAACTCTGCTCTATCCTGTGCCAATCGCACCGTCTACCGCACTCCCATCCCAATTACCACAGTCACTGAATCAATCTACCTCATAGGAGGCCTTCCCCTTCTGAGCTGTCCCTCCACCCTACCAAGCATGATGTCCCTCTCCAAGGATCTGTCCCTCCTTGCAACATGTCCAAAGTATGTTAGACGGAGCCTTAGAATCCTTGCCTCCAAGGAGCAGCCCAGTTTGGCCCTTTCCAGGATGAATCTGTTTGTTTTCCTAGGTGTCCATGGTAC